CCCTAGCATCTTCCTCCCTGTTCCTGCCAGGCCTCCTCTGTCAGACCCTCCCCGCCGCCGGCTTGCCCCCTTCCCCACGTCTCACCTTCCCGAGGAGTTACTGGGCCCTTTCTCAATCCCACCCTCTCCCCAGACAGCCCGGCGCCCCGCGCCCACCTGCTGCCCTCCAGCCTGCCTTTCCTTCTCCTGGCGGGCCCCAGGCAGGGACAGGGGCAATGCGTGGTTCTTTTTCAAGCGCTCGTCCGGTGTGCTTTCATGTGCCTGGTGGCACTTGTGCCCAGCGGCCCAGGACTGACCCATTTGTGGGCCAAAATCTCCAGTGTATGGACGCAGGAATGGATTCGTTATTTTAGCAGGGTCACCTATGAGGGGAGCGGCAAAAGTTTGGAAGGACATTCCAGAATCTTTTTATTCCATTCTTCCACGAACTTTCCGAAGGCCCCTTGTGTTAAGAATTTTTCCACCCCTTCCTGGCTCAGGTGTAAGTCATGGGGTCCCTGATTCCTTATACACTCACTCACCCATACACATGCCCCCCCCAGTTGGATGAACCCCAGTCTTCCCTCCCTTGTTCTCGCCATCCTTGTGATCGTCTTCCTTAATTAGAGCTCCCTGTGGTCCAGAATCTCATCGCGTGAGCAAACAGCCTGGTACACATCCCAGCTCCACCCCTCACTGGCATAGGGGTGGTTGGGGGGCGGGTCATCTAGACCTCACAGAGCCTAAGTCTCCTCATCTGCAGAATGGGGTTTAGAAGAGCATCCCCTCCCTAGGCTGCATGAAGTAATGCATGTAAAGCTCTCCGCCTTAATGCTGGCTGTTGTGAACCAGGGAGCACGTCCCAAGGTCAGTGGGCCCCAAGGGCAGGGTAGCGGACACCAGCCCCCAAGTGCTGTTTGCCAGATTGGGGATCCTCAACCTCCAGTTTCCTCTTAAACTCTGGTGCGGACTTCCCGTGAACCAGCTTTGCCCTCTGGCCCTCTCACTGGACGATGCCCTTCCTCTGGGAGCCAAGGCCAGATGACAGGACCAGCAGCAGGTTGGGGAATTCCAGCCCCCTGCAGAGTCCCTGGGCTGGGTTTCAGATCCACTGTGCCTGCCGCCCACTGAGGGGCCCAAGTGCCTTAACAGTACCCGATTCTGGGTAGGGAGGTATAAGGGCTGCAGTCAGGGCTGCAGGAAGTGGCTCTTTCTGTGGTGGGAGCCTCATGAGCCTGCAGTGTGGGACTTGGTCAGCTCTGGAGCAGGGCCTTTTGGGCTGAGTGGGCGTCTTTGCCGGTGACCAGGTTCTTCCTGGAGAGGAGGGAGAAAGCCCGGCTTGGTTCCGGGAGAGCTGGCAGTCATCCGGCCTTGGTCTCCGCTCTTTCCCACCTGGGCCTGGGGCCTGGGGCGGGTTTGGGCCAAGTGTGCTCACCTGGGGCTGGGCCCCCTGGAACTGGGCTGGAGTGAACCCTCAGTGGAAGCTGGTCAGAGCAGAGAGGGCAGGTGCTCACCCCTACCCACTGCTGGGGAAGAGGTGAAGGTGGCCATCTGCACCGGGAATGGCTTGGCTTCGCTGTCTGATGGATCATCCCGAGGGCCTGTCAGCATCTGCCTGACTTCCCTGCCCCACACAGTAGCCAGCGTGCCTTCAGTTCCAAGTCAGACCAAATCCTATTGGCTTTCCATCTCCCCCTCCCTCAATAAGTGCCTGACCCTGCCCTGTCTTTCCCTGTAGCCCCTGCTGCATCTTCCTCCTGTCTCCTCCCTCCAGCGACACTGGCCTCCTCATCAGCTCCTTAGCCTTTGCTCTGCTTGGCATGACCTTCCCTAGGTAGCCCCATAGGCGAGCAAACCGCCTACCTCCCACCGATCCTTCTACCAGATTTATTGTGTTCTGAAGGGCTGGCCACCGGCTGGCGTCATGTATGTATACTTGTTAGTTTCCTGCCCTTCTCCATGAGAGCAGGACTTTGGTCGGTTCCTGGCTGCGTCGAGAACGGGGCCTGGCATGTAGTAGGTCCCCAGGTACCTAGAGCCTGGCCCGTTGGGAGCCTTTGGCCTAGCAGTCTGCTCCTCAGGGTATATGTCCTGGGAGGCCAGAGCTGCAGTTGGTGAAGGTTCCAGAAGGAGCGCTGGGTGCCCCCAGGGCCCTCCACTGGGGGTGCTGGCCTGCTCCCTGTTGCTGTGCCGGTCTTTAGGTACAGCCACTAAAACCTGAGGCTCCAGGATCCGAGGCTGACTCTGACCTCCCAGCTAGCCAGCCCCCTCCCTCCTCCTGGTGCCCCCCTAGCTCGGATGGGAAGGCAGTACAGGTTCAGGTGTCAGACTTGGCACAAACCCCCCCCCCTTGGGCACTCCTGAGCCGTGTGACCTTAGGCAAGCTAAGCAAGCTCTCCGGGCTCGTGTCTTAGAGGTTGTGGTAGGATTTGATGGGTAAGTGGTTAGCATAATAGGTGTCACGTAATAATGGGTCTGTACTCTAGATATGATTAATAATGCTGTATTAGGGCAGGTGGCCATTATTTTTTTTGCCCCATGGCACTAGGAAAAGACTGCATTCATTCGTTCATTTAATAACTACGCATTGGGCATCTCCTTGGTACATGTGCTGGGGTGTCACAGGAGCCAGACTGCCCAGGCAGCCCCCTCAGAGGAGCCCCGCTGTGCAGGGGAGACAGCCAGGCATCCACAGCCAGGCTAGTCCTTGAAGTTGATAATGGATCCCATGCTGGGAAGTCTGCCTGAGGCTGAAAGGGCATTCCAGGGAGAAGGTGCTAGCCCTGTTCCAGACACGCCTGAGGGTGGGGCTGCACGGGTGGTGGGATGGAGCGGCAGGTGCCTTTGGTAAGGTCGGGTCATGGTGGGGCCTGACTCCGAATGGGAAGAGGCGCACTGGAAGGTGGCCAGCAGGGACATGGCCGGAGCCGGCTGTGGTTTCTTGATGGGCGGGGGAGTGGCAGCAGAGAGACCTGATTGATGTACAGCATCACTCAGCCATTCCTCTCAGAGGGTTGTGGTGTGGGAGGAGGTCAGATGCTTAGACATCACCCCTGAAGGCAGACTGCTGTCTCCCCACACTTCTCCCTAAAGCTTGGAACCATTAGCTTGGTTCCTGTAGGTGGAGTTCACACCCTGCTGACAATGGTTCCTATGGAGATCCAGGGAACAGGTCAAAGTTAAGCTGCCATCCTGACTCGAGGATCCGCCCATCTTGTCACATGTATACCCCCAATCCCTTCTCTTCCTATTGCGTATATGGCCCTAGACCACCCCCTCTCATTGCTGTATAACCTATAGTGCAACCCCTTCCTGTGAACGTATGTCTTTACCTGTAATTAGTGGGCTTGAATGCCCCCAAAAGGTATAGAGGCCTGGGTTAGCAATAGAGGTCTCTCTCCCTGGTCTCTCCTCTCTTCCCCCTCTCCTCTCCCGTCCTCACTCCCTTGTTCCCTTGCCCTCCTTCCCTTCCCCCTCTCCAAGTGGACCACCAAGCAGGGCTGAGGTGAGCAATGCTACCATGTAATGTGTCTGACTCCATTATTGTAATATCTCTTCTATCGCTCATGCTCTCGATGACTTTAATATTTATATATCTCAACCATACAACTGTGCTTACAGAACACGAGGGTAGTGGTGGGGGGCTGGCCCTCCCTCAACCTTATACTGCATTGTGGGACTTCCAGAAAGTGCCAGCCTGAGATGCAGAAGGAGGCTTGTGGGCTCTTTGGCAGGCAGCCTGCCTGGGAGGACAGACAGAGCCTTCAGCAGACAGGCTGCTCTCCAGACCTGCCTGGGGGACATCAGGCCTTGGGGGACATGACTGATTCCTACTGGTGCCACCTTCTACCTTTTCCTAGGCTCGCCCTGCTCCTCCTCCAGATTTCAGCCCTGACATTATCTCCTGCAGTGAGCCATTCCGGGCTGCCCCTCTGCCTCTTGCTCCCCAGTTGTAGCAGAATGGGCTGGTCCACAATATACACCCCCCCCACCCCCACCGGAGTTACAAAGCCATCACCTTCTGGGGCAGGTCCTTGTGCCCTTGTTTTGCCGTGACTCCACCAGCTGCCCTGTGGGGGGCCACTCATTCGTTGCCCTTATTCCCACTGCTCGATGAAGGTGTCCCCTGGTGTAGAAAATGGCTTTGGGTGGCGGTAGCGTGGACTGAATGGATCCGTGTGTCGGCCCAGTTCACGGGCAGTGGCTGCCTGACACAGTGTGGACGATGCTGAAGGGGCAGCTTGGTGTGGGAGGTGGAGTGCTGAAATCCACGCCATGCCCAGTTAGGGGCTGGGGGAAAGGGCAAGGGTCAGCTAGTGACCTCTGCTGGTAGAGGCGTGGCGTGGCCGCAGCCAGCTGCCTCTCTGGGGAGAGGCTCGTCTAGAATGTGGTGGCTGTGGCGGGGAAGACCCCGGTCCTGGGCTGCAGCTTGTGCCCCAGTGAGCTTTTAAAGTGTCTGCTGACCCGTCCTCCCCTCTCTTGTTCTAGCTGCCCTTTCCTGGCTAGCCAGCTGACTCTCGCCATCCCCATCATCGCTGCCATCCTCTTCTTCTTCGTCATGAGCTGCCTGCTGCGGACGAGTTTCACGGACCCTGGCATCCTGCCCCGGGCCACTGTCTGCGAGGCCGCCGCCCTGGAGAAACAGATTGGTGAGGCTCCCTGCCGCCTGCCCAGCTTCTCCAGCTGGGAGGCAGCCAGAGTTTTCTCTTCCCAACCTTGCTGGGCGCGCGGGGGACAGCCCTGAGCAAGACCAGCTGCGGCTGGCATGTGGAGTGGGCTCGAGAGGGCTGTGTAAGGAAGGGCACCCGTGAGCCGTGCCCGCAAGCCCGGATGAGGATGGCAGTGGCCATGTGCTGAGTGCTGGCGTGGCTCTCACGGTCACCGAGGGCAGCTGCCCAGCGGGTTTGCTGGATGGTGGTCTTCATGAAGGGAGCTGAGCGCTAGGGCTTGTCTCCTGCGAAGCCCCCAGTTGGTTTGTATAGGCGCCATGCTTCTCACCGGGAGGGAGGTAAACGGTCTAAGCAGCAGGGTAAGGGGCAAGCTGGCTGAGACCCAGGCAGTCGAGTAGAGCCCCTGTCCATGTCGCCACTCCCAGTCCTCCGCAGCCACTCCTCCCTGTGGCCCCTGCTGTGCGCCCAGCATGTCCCTAGGTCTCTAGGAGGTGGCACTTGGCAGGATCCCTGAGTGATGCCGTGGGCCTGGTAGGCGGGGGCTTCAAAAAATTCATGGGACAAGCCCCGTCTTGTTTTATTCTGTGCCTTGAATGGGGACCAGGCGGGCCAGCATGGTCTCCAGGTGACCCTGGGCTCCTCCCCGGCTGCCGTGTGGCTCTTCGGCCGGGTGGGCTCAGGGCCCGGCCTTCCTCTTTGCTTGCTCCACCTAGCTCCTTCCTGCTGAGAAGCACCGCGGGGGTGTGCACACCGTGGGGGTTTCCGGCCTGTGGCTGGCTCCTTCCCCAATGGGGTGACTTTCAGACAGCCTTTGAAACAACCAGCTGGCCCGAAGAGACCTGGGGGATGTAAATGTCACTGCCCTGCTGCATCCACACAGGAAGTCGGCTCGCTAATTCTCCGAGGGGAGGGCGTGGGCTGCTCTCTGACTCAGCCTCTGCCTCTCCCCCCCCTCCCCCCAAGGCAGCTTCCTTTCCTGCATGGGTGGGTTTCTTGGCTTCCCAGTTTCTGTCCCTTGAGGGTCCCATGGTCTGGCCTGCCTGGCACCATCAGGTCAGGGCTGATCAGGAGGCAGGATTATTGTCCAGCTCAGCCCTGCAGGAGGCCTGGCTGGCTGCGACCCTCTGACCACCTATCAGCTGTGTGGGTCATGGTAGCCGTAATCCCTGTGCTGGCGGGAGCTTGACTGAGCCCCATGTGCGGTCCACCGTGGCCAGGGGAGGCTGGCAGTGGTCGGGATAAGGTGGGAAGGAGCGTCCTGGGCAGAGCTCCTCATCCTCTGGGTGGACATATGCAAGGTGGGAAAGTATTTCTTTTCTGGCCATGACATTAAGCAACACGCACGGAATCATCTGGCAGAAGTTACTCCCTTTTCGATCCTCCTGCAGTCCGCCAAGACGGTGCGTTTGGTTTGGGGGGGCTAGATGACAGTCACCCAGGAGTTGTGGGCCGTGGGGCTGAAGGGTCTGTTGGCGACAGAGTCCAGGCCCTCCGAGTGACCGGCTAAAAAGTAGGAGATGAGAACATTGCCTCCTTGAAGCTTCCGGTCTGGTGGGAGATGATGGAGACCTCCAAACCCAGAGACAGGCCCAGAAAACCCAGCTCACTGCCCTGGAGTCGGTTCGACTCACAGGGGGCCCTGCAGGGCAGAGCAGCCCCTGTGGGTTTCTGAGACGGAACAAGCCATTCGAGGAGCAGACAGACTCGTCCTTCTCCCAAGGAGTGGCTGATGGGTTCGAACTGCCGCCTTTGTGTTAGCAACGCACTGGGTGACCACTATGCCCCAGGACAGCCACCCACTGACTGTGTCGAGGACAGACACAGAGGTTGCCTCTTTCCCCCTGCACACAGGCTATACCACCAGCCTGCCTGCCTCCAGAATGGCCCCTAGATCCTTGTCCTCCTGAAACTCGCTGCTGGGGGCGGCTCTGCCTCCTCCTCGCCTGGATTCCCTTGGGCCCCCGCTGACCAGTCCCTGCAGCCTGGTCTCCCCTTCGGCCAAAGGCCAGATGTGGTGCGGCCTCTCTGGCTCAGACTTCAGCATCCTTTCTTGATGATCAGTCATTTCAGTGTGCTTGGGAAGGAACGTTGGTATCACCCTGGTGACGCCTGGTCGACGGCTCTGCATAGAAGATAGTCCTAAGAGCAGAAGCATGGCCATGTCTCCGAGCACTGGCGAGGTAACAGTTGCCCATGGAAAGGAGTCGTTTGTCATTCACTGAATGACTGCGGGGTGGGGGTGGGTGGGGGGGGGCTTGCTCTCTGGTTGAGTCAGAGGACTGCAGGAGGATTGAAAAGGGAATAAAGTGCCACGTGATGCCATGTTGCTTAATGTCATGGTCAGGAAATAAATGGTTCCCCACCCTCCGTAGGCCGGCCCACCCAGTGAGGAGTCCTGCCCAGCACAATGCGCCCCAACTCATCTCCGACCCCTCCCATCCTCCTCTAGCCGCCGCCCACAGCCTGGGTGCACCACGTGCAGCTGTCCCTCTGCCTCACACAGGCTGTCCCCTACCCTCCTTAGGGAGCCTGGTGGCCCCTCCTCTCTGATCCAGCCGAATGGTGGCTCCTGCTTTTGTGGCTTTCTGATGCTCTGCCCTAGCCCCACGTAATCCGGTTTGATTCGGCCTCATGAGTCGCAGTAGAACCGGGCTCCGTCGTGGTTTCCACGGCTGCTTTTTGGGAAGCAGTTTGCCAGGCCTTTCTTCTGAGGTTCTTCTGGGTAGACTGGACCCTCTCCACCCTTTTGAATAGCAGCCAAATGCATGACTGGTTTAGAGCCCCCAACCTGACGTGGCTTCCTCCAGTATCCCCCAGGAGCTAATGTATCATACGCTCACAGCAACCACGAGTTGACGAGCTGTGGACGGGACCTTGACCCTTGTTACCCATGTTAGACGTAAGGAAACTGAGACTCGGGGAAGTCCAGTCGCTTCCTCAAAGTCACAAAGCTAACCAGTGGCCTGACTGAATCAGGTTTCAAAACCAGACCCGGCTTTCCCCAGAGACGTCTTTCCTCACTGCCTACTTCTCCTCCCACTCTGTCCTCAGGCTGAACCCTTCAGTTCCCCCTGTCCAGCACCAAGCCTGGTGGGTGTTGAGGGCTCTGGGAACCTCTGGCATGACAGGAATGGCCAGGTGCAGATGGCAGTGACCTGGGGCTAACAGCCTGAGCATGCATGGTGGCTGGCCCCAATCTCGGGGCTCCTGTGGGAGACCACAGCCCTGCAGCTGTTTCCTCCCTGGCTGACCACAGTGGGAGGGCAGAAGGAAGTCAGGACCCAGCAGAGGGGCCGGAGATCACAGGCCTGTCTTCATGAAGCTGGCTCTGTAAGCATGGCCAGCCCAGGGACTTCGGTGACCGCCCAGCCAGTCAGGCTCTGGAGGCACCAGGCCTCTGCATCCATTCCAGCTCTTTAGGGACATGGGAGCACAGTCAGACTCCATCGGGGTTCCAATACTGTAAATATGCACGGCATCAGACAGCCTCGCTGTTCTCCTCTGGAATGCCTGATGGAGTTGAACCGCTGGCCTTGAGGTTAGCAGCCCAACAGACTATTCTGGGTGCTGCCAGGAGGATGGGGATGAGGAGGTTGAGGACGAGTCCAGGGCTGTGATTGGTCAGCACAGTCTGCCCTGCGCGAGTATGTGAGCTGAGGCAGCTGACTGACACCCCACCCCACCCCCGGCCCCCTATGTAGGCTCAAGGACTCTACAATTGGGGGTTTTGAGCCAGCGTCTCAGTGGCACCTTCACTCCTATGTGGCCCCTCCCTCTGGCCTTTCCCAGCCGTGGCAGTCTGAGGAAGTGGGGTGTGCAGAGAAAGCGCTTCCTCTTTCTCGGGGGTCCAACGAGGAGGAACCCCGATTTCTGGAGGCCCCTCCCCAGCCAGGGGGGCCTGTGGGGGCCCAGTGGGTCTTCCTTCTCTCCAGGCACCAGAGGGTGAGGGGTTGTATTTCGAGGTTTGCTTGCAACAAGCTTTTTGAAATAGAGCATTTCACAGAAATAGTAATCAAGGCCAGTGTTGGTTGAGCTCTTGTCAGTGCTGGACCATTTGCTGACCCCACCCTGTGACCTCTCCCCTGATCTTCCCAGTGACCTGTGAGGTGGGTTTCATTATGCCGCATTTTAGTCCTGCAGCAGCTGAAGTGAGCTGACTTGACCGGCACCACTTGGTTAATAAGTCATCGCGCCCACAGTCATACCCACACTCTGACGCCATAGCTCCTGCTCAGGCCCTGGGGAGGCAGCCGTGAGCGGGGGTGCCCGGTGGGGCAGCGTTAGGAGTTTGGTTTGGAGTGCCATCAACAGCTTTGGAAAGAGCTGGGAAGTGCTGCCTGCTGGAGTGTCCCAGTGGGGACTATTTGTCAGGCCTGGTGGCGCTCCTGAGTCTAGTGTTGACCGCCCTCACAGCATGTCAGCCACACCGTCGGAGGTTGAAATGGTCTTATCCATCAACGTTTCTCAGAGAGGCGACGGGACCAAGATTCCAGCAGCTCTAATCTGCTCTCCTGAGAGCCGGTTCCTGTACACTTGCGGTTTCTGTCTTCACAACCCTGTAAGGGGGTTGTTCCTCCCTGCTTCTACAGATGAAACAGCAGACTCAGAGCTGACGTAGCTTCCCCACAAGCACCGGCTCATCAATGGAAGGGTTGAGATTTGAACCCCAGGCCTGCCTCAGTCCTGGGGCCCTGCTGCAGAATTCCTTGCTCATAGGCCCAGAACTACCTGCTTATCACACTGCCTCTGTTCTCAAGGACAGTCTTCGTGGAGAGAGGGGGCACACACACACACATGAAAGCCCCAGCCCAGCCCAGCACTGACCAGTGAGACCCAGTGAGACTGCTGGAGGGGGCGGAGAAACCCAGGGCAGCCAGGTGGGGCTTGGGCAGGTCATGTTGAGCAGAGGCAGAAGACTGCCCCCAGGGACTTGTGGGAGAAGACAGGGAAGTTTGGGGAGGCCTAAATATCAAGACAAGAAGTTTGTCCTACTGGTGATTTTTGGGGCAGGCTAACGAGGGGTTGCTGCCTTCAGTATGGATTATAACTCAGTGCCAAGAAAACAGAGATCCTCACACCTGGACCAATAGGTAACATCATGGTAAAGGGAGAGAAGACGGAAGTTGTCAAGGCTTTGTCTTGCTGGGATCCATAATCAGTGCTCATGGAAGCAGCAGTCAGGAGACCAAAAGATGCTGCATTGGGCACACCTGTTGCACACGACCTCTTTAGGGTGTTGAAGGGCATGGAGGTCACTTTGCGGACTAAGGTGCGCCTGACCCGGCCAGGGTATTTTCTTATATATGTTTATTGGCACCTAATCCACGTGTCATACAATTCAATAGTCAATTGTTCCATCATATCAAGAAGAAATGTACAATCACCACAATCCATTTTAGAACATCCCCC